GTTCTGCGTGGCCTCTCCGAATGGCAGTCAGGCTGCGGAAGGGCCCGCGGTCAGGTTAAGCATTAGGATGCTCTGCGTGCTTAGGGAAGATGAGCTCGACTCGCTGTTAACTCCCTAAGATAGGCAGAAGTGGCCACAGGGAATGGCCGCTTCAGAAGCTGGGAGCCATATCCGGAATGTTGTTTTTGACCATTTATGTAGCTAGAACCCATTTATATACGGCCCCTCTGTCGCAGTGCCACCGGGCTCTGTCCAGGCCTGGGGCTGCCTGCTGTCACCGCGGTGACCAGAGTGCTGGGCCCTTTAGAATCGAGCCAGAGCGCCATGCGCTCCAGCCGGCTCTGAGGACCGGTGGGGGGGGCACCATGTGTTCCGGGGGTGCTGAGGGCAGCCCTGCGCCCCCAATTGCCATGTGCCAAGTTCCTGTTCTTCAAAGTGGTGGGCATGGTCCCCCGGCTTAAGATACGAGGCGAAAATTGGGCCTTTGCTCCCCCGGTCCTCCAGCTCCGGCACCTAGGCGACTAACAGGGTATTAACCATAGAGAGGGGGCACTGGCCAGAACAGAGCCTTGTCACTCGCTGGGTGAAGCTCCGGAGAGCCAGTAAAGCCATAGTCCACGTATCCTTAGCCCCCCTATCCCTGTAGGATTCCCTGGACAATTGGGGGAGGGGGTGGCTCCCGGAAAGGGCAAGGCCTCAGGTAGAAGGGGCGGGTCTGGGGCAGCCCACCCCCAGCACCGCCTGGACCACATGGCGCCCCTCACTGGCCCTCAGAGCCCGCTGGTGAACACAGCACTCGTAGGTCCCCACACTCTAGCCACAGCCACTGGGGTGACAGCCAGGAGCCGTAGGCCCTTGAAGTGCTGGGCCCTAGGGCAATTGGGCCCTTTGCCCCCCACCTCATCAGCAGGCCTGTTGCTGTCCCGTGTTCGTTAATTATTCAAGAAGAATAATTCTCCCCCCCCCACTTCAGACCCCCACTTGGGCACAGCCCCACGCTCGGCTCCCTGTAACCCGCTACAAGCCGTGGATAATGACTGACCATCTGCCATGCACTGGTACTAAGCATGTGTTTGACAACCGGCGCGCTTCCCTTCTGCCCTCTGGTATTCTCGCTGGGCGGGCCGAGAGCCTCTGGGACGCGTCGCGTTGGAAATGGAGCACGGCACACCGGCCCTTATCTCTCCCCGTTCCAAAGAGCAAGACTAAGAGGAGGCGGCGCCGAGTCCCTCTCAGCCCTTCGGGCGCCGTTCGCTAGGAGTCGCTCACGGTGCCGATTCCGCACTCCGGTGCCGGGAGATGCTGAGCCGTGTGGGCTCGCAGGCCTGGTGCTCGCCACCGGGGTTCTGGCTAGTCGATAGACTCGCTGCTTGGTCAGGCCAGCCTCCTGCGGTCCGCTCCTCCAGCTGTGCCCTGCCTTATGACCCCTGCAGGAGAAGGGTGGGGAGAGGGGAGCACTTGGAGTTGGATAAGGACTGGGACTGTGCCTGCTGCAACGGGCTCTCTCATGGTGCTCTTGCTTTGGGTGGGGCTGGTGTGTCTCGGTATAGGCACTTGCACCAGACAGGCACCCTGGCCGTGGATGTGATGGAAGAACCACTGCGGGACCCCCTGGAGCGTGCGGAGGAGGACCTCACCGACAAGGTAGGGATGCGGCCCCAGCTGCCACTCACTGCAGCTTTGCTGGAGGAAGTCAGCACGTCCCGCCGGGCTGATCCCTGGGTGCAGAGAGCAGCTATTCCCAGCGCTCAGCAAGGGGGCCAGGCCCCCCAAGTTCCGTCCCTGGCTCTGCCCTTCGCTCTGTGCTCCTGGGCCAGGCGCTGCTTTGTGCAACCACCTCCCCATTGAAGAGAAGGGCGGAGTAGCCCCGCCCGGCACCGAGAAAATCGCCCCTTACGCTGCTCTGGTAGCCTGGGCGTAGAAATGCGCGGTGCGAATCGCGTGCTGTCGTTGCATGCACGGCTGACGTGGGGCAGGCGACTGCCCGGGCCGCCGGTGAGCGCCGTGCTGATGGGGGGGGGGAGGCTGCGGTTTGGCAAAATCAACAGGGCGGGCAGAGCGCGCCGCTTTTTGGGGCAGGAGGTTGAATTGCAGTCGTCGCCCTGCGCTGCTCGGGCTGACGGCCGCTTCATGTGCAGTGGCTTGAGGGGGGGGTCTTTGGTTTACTGAACAACTCTCTGACTTTGTCCTGGGGACAGGGCGGGGGGGAAGGTCCGTCTGTTTGTCTGAGGCTGTGGAGTAGACACAGCCTGGGTTGGCCTCCCTTGGTGTGAGTAAACCACCCCCCGTACGCGGACACGCCGCTGTGCCCGCGCTAACGGCCGCTACTCCCGCCGGCACAGCTTCCGCCCTTTGCTGAGCGGGTGGGTCGAAGCTGTGGCCCCTCCGAAGGAATGGTGAATAGCTGAGGGGAAGGGGAAAACGCCAGGCCACGTGAGCTGTGCTTGGTGTAAATGTTTGCCCCGTGTGAAAATATGGCTTTAGACCTGGGCTCCTTAATTCTGACACCCCGGCTAGGGAGACGCACGGCGCTCCGGGTGTGGCGGAGACACGCCCACCTCTGGTGCCGTGTGCACTTGCCGGTTGAGCTTTGCCAGGCAGGAAGAGAGCTCCATGCTGGCTGTTCGGCCTGGCCGGGAGAGAGGAAGCTGAAAGACCCCAGTGCATCCGAATTCTCTCTCTCTTTCCCAGGTCGTCTTCCTGGAAAAGAGGGTAACCGAGCTGGAAAAGGACACGGCGGCCAATGGAGAGCAGCACAGTCGGTTGAAGCAGGAAAACCTGCAGCTGGTGCACAGGTGAGGGCGTTTGTGGGTGTGTCAGGATCAAACTGATCTCCGTGAGGTGTGTATCAGGGCTTGTCTACACTGTGCAGCCGGGCGTGCGCTAGAGGGGCAGGCATTCCCACACACGCCAGCCTGCACACTCGGTGACCTGCATTACCCCTGTGGCTGGTCCCTGTGTCAACATTAGTGTGCCGTAGGGGGCTTCTAGTTGGTGCCCTTTGCAGTTTGCACCCTTCCCGTGTGCATTGGTGCACCAGGTAGGTAGAATTGTTCCCCTCCGTCTGCTCCCCGTGGGCGTGCGAGTTAGTGTGTGCACATGTGCCTCGCGTCCGCACGCCATGCTCTGCGCAGAAAAGGCAGCTTCTCAGATGCGCCCACGGTTAGGTAGGCCTGTGGTGGACACCAGCCAGCAGAAGAGGAGTTGGTAGAAAGAGACAGGAGAGACTGGAAGTGAAGCAGATCTGCCTTCCCTCGCTGATCCCTGGCAGACACCCGCTCTGCACTGTCCATTCGCTGGCTTCCCAGGACCAGCTTGGGTGAGCAGATGAGCACCAAACAGCTGCTGTGTTTTAGCAAGTGCCTCTGCCTCTTGGACATCTTCTGAGACGCGCGGCGCTGTAAGCGTCTGCCAGCGACGGCTTGCGTGTGCTGTGCCGCGCAGCGCTGTAAGCGTCTGCCAGCGACGGCTGTGGCCTGGAAAACTAGCCCTCCACGCCACTTGGGGTGGAGAACGCAGAGGGAAATGGTCACTGCCTTCCGGTCCTGCATTTGATGTAACGTAAAATTAATGGATGTTGCTAGAAGTCTACAGCTCCCAACAGCTATTAACCCCCTGCCTTGTCCTTGGACACTTCTCTGCGGCGGTTAATGGTCCAGCTTCGGTGGGACCTGCTTAATTCATAGGCGACACGCAGGGAGCCAAATAGTGCAACCCTACGGCTGTCCGGGTATCACTGATGATGCGGGTGCCCAAAGGAATTACCCATAAGTGGCATGTGAATTTCCTACTCGTGACAATCCCAGGTGGAAGGGAGGATAATTAATTAGAGTAATTGGCCTGGGTAGCCTATGCTGTCAGCTCTCTGCTACCCACTAACACAAGTTTTAAGGAAATCCTTTCCCTTGTTCTCTTACTGCTTTCTTCATCCCTCCTTTGGGCTGGTTTTCATGTGACCCCTGAGGCTTGTACGTAAGAATGGCTAGACTGGGGCGGGGGCTGGGCGCCCACTGCCAGGTGCCCCAGAGGGAGTGAACAGGCCAGACCACAGGTAGAGCCAAATGGTGATGGATACAAACATCTGTTACCTGGGCTCTCTGTGGTTTAGCTACCCAATGGGCGGAGGCATCCCGGGACTGGGTGGCCGTGATCTGCTTTCCCCCAGGGGCCTGTCAGGTGTGGGCCTGGCAGGACCCGGTTCTTGGTCTTGTGCAGCGGCTGCTCCTTGGATGATCTTCTAACCCCACACTGGCTTCTAGTGGCTGTTCAGTAGGGGGAAGAGGGGAGGAGGAGGGTGTAAAGAAAGGAGCCATAATATCCAGACCCCAACAGGACTGCCGTGTAACCTCAGCCTGGGCTCACCCCCGCCCGTCCTTCTCTCCAAAGAGCGAATGCCCTGGAGGAACAGCTGAAGGAGCAAGAGTTGAAAGCAGACGAGACGCTCCTGGAGGAGACCCGAAAGCAGCGAGATCTCCTGACCCGGCTGGAGAGAGAGAAGAGCATTGAGATCGAGAATCTGCAAGCCAGGTGGGTGCAGCTGCCAGCCCCTCTGGGGATGGGCCTGAAGGCTTCCCCGCGCAATCTGAGACCACTAAAACGCCGCGGGGGAGGAGTCGGGAGCGTTTCCTGGAGCCCTGGCCATGCCGAGCAGGCGGCGTTCTAAACCTCTTCCCTCCGGAGCTTTGCCCCCACAGAGCCCACCCCCCTCAGACCGGCGGCACCTGTGTCCAGCCAGGGAGAACTTTCCACGTGGCTTCTGTTAGCTCGCGCATGCTCCCCCGGGCCCCGCCCCAATGGTGCGAATAGCGAGACCGTTCCTGGGACCCCCCCGCCGTTCCCACGCATCGTCAGAGACAGGCCAGGCATCGGCTCTGCTCCCAGGGAGCTGCCTGGCAGTTCTGACTTCAGCGGGCGCCTTCCCTTCGCCCACGCAGCGCCGAGGGGGAGGGGTCACCGCAGAAGCGTTGGGTGGCTCTAGCCAGGACGGCGCCACGGCCCCACCTGGGGCACGGCCCAGCAGCAGGGGGCGCTCTGAGTTTGCGTGACACCCTTGCAGTAACCGGCGCCAGGCCCCGGGCAGAGCCAGCCTGGCCTGAGTGAGGGGCACCTCCTGGCTTGGGCGGGGTGGCTTTCCCGTGGCACTCGGCGAGCGCAGAGCAGCTCAGCTGAACATGCCTCTTGCCCAGCACTAGCCGGCTGAGCAGAGGGGCCCATGCAGACTGGAGCACGCTAACCCTGGGGCTGTACACGGTGGCTCTGGGGGTCGAGCCACCCGTGGGGGAAAACAGTGGGGGCTGTGCCCCTGCCAGCCCCCTGCCAATCAGCTGGTCGGCCACCTGTTGCTGTCTGGTGGAGGGCGGTTCTTAGGGGAGGGACAGGAAGAGGCGGGGCCTTGGGGGAGGGGCGGCGTGGGCGTGGGATTTCAGGGTAATTACCGTTCATGCCTGGCATGCTCATTGAGACCATCGCTGGGCTCCTCCATGTGCCAGACCCAGGCACTCGTCTTCTGGGCACCGGTGCCAGCTCCATGGGAGTCGGGGGCTGGAGCACCCATGGGAGAAATTAGAGGGTGCTTAGCATCTGCTGCCAGCCAGCACCTCCCTCGTCCACCTCCCCCTGGCAGCCCTGCTGATTAACTCCTCCCCCTTCCTCCCAGGGCCTCCGCCCATGGCAATCAGCTGTCTGCTGTGGAGGAGGCGCTGGAGGGGCGTGGGGTGGCATCAGGGCGTGCTCAGGGAGGGGGATGGGGGGGGTTAGGGCAGGCCTGGGGAGGAGCAAGGGGTGATGCCGGCCCTTGCGTGACTAAGGTACAAACCCCAAGAGGCGAGGCAGCAGAACTGGGGACAAACCATTGCAATGCAGAGGACTCCAGCTAAGCCGGGCACTGGGGGGGGGGGGGCGCCCTTCCCTGGGATTGCCGGGGAGGCCGGGTGGGAGGACCCCGGCCGAGCTTTGGAGCGTCTCCTTGGTTCTACCCCACGCTCCCGTCTGCACCAGGGCGCTCTTGTTTGTGCGCTTGCCTGCCTCTCCCGGCTCTCAGCGTGTTCCTCTCTCGCCAGGCTGCAGCAGCTGGAGGAGGAGAACGGCGAGCTGCGATCCTGCGTCCCCTGTCTGAAAGCCAACATCGAGAGGCTGGAGGAGGTGAGGCTGTGCACGCGCGCCCACAAAGATGCATCCTGCTCTGCTGTCGGCGTGTTTAAATCTGGGCTGAGGGGTCCGTGCTGCCAGAGATTCCTTGGCGGTGAAGGGTGACCATGCCTCCCTGCGTCGCCGCTGACTCGTGCTCTGCTGTCGGCGTGTTAAATCTGGGCTGAGGGGTCCGTGCTGCCAGAGATTCCTTAGCGGTGAAGGGTGACCATGCATCCCTGCGTAGCCGCTGACTCGGCACCCTGGCTTGCTGCTGGCTTTCCTGAGCGCCTCACGCTTTCCTTCCCCGCGTGCCCTTTGCAGCTTCCCTCGAGTTCGCCTGTGGGTGTGTCAGTCACTGACGCCCAGGGCTGCCCTCACCCATACGCAGAATCTGCAGACAATTTGGGGCACCGCTGGGTCTTAGCGTCCCCCTCCCCGCTCTGCCTATCACAGCTCTGTGGCTCTGCTTCCTTCGGCGAAGGTCTAGTCAACGTAACCGTGAACAAGCCGGGCGGAGCTATTGGGCACCACTGACCCTGGGAAAGAGCCAAGCAAGTCGCAATGACCCCCAGGTACATCCTATCGGTTTCTGATCTTCCTGTGCTAGTTGACAGGACCCTAGGCTAAAATTTTCTTTAAAACTCTTTCAGTGGTGTGTGGCTGGAGATCATAAAATCACGTCTTTTAAAAATCAAACCCCCTCTTCCCCCCCCTTCCCCCATGGCTGCCATCGGGCACCGGTTTGCTAGATTTTATGGGGCCCTACCCAGAGCTAACGGCAGCGCCGCTGACACCTGCGTCCTGCTGGGTTTCCCAGACGGCGTAGCTCCTGCCGAGTGAGAGCACGCTGCGGAGTCGGGAATTGGCCACGGCCGTGTTGTGAGTCCCTGCTGATGCTCGTGGGCGAAGTGCCAGTTGCAAAGAGCAGAGCTGGCTCCGTTTGCACGGCACCCTGGTGTGAAATCCCCAGTGATGTGCAGCGAGCGAGCGACTAGAGATCCCTTTCCTCTGCTGGTCCTGCCCTCCGTGGACACGGAGACTTGCTGAGTCACTGCATTGTGCTGTAAAAGCAGAGCCTCCAGACCGACCTGGAGCACTGCAGTCCTGCACGCCCTTCGGTGGTAGTGCCGCCGCCGCCCGCGAGCATCAGCTGGGCACCGGCTGCTCTGCAGGGGGCTGCTGCGTGTGCCAGCATCTTTGCTGTTTATGAATGAAATTCTGACCCCTTGTAGCGCACTGCGGGGACGCTTGTTCAGACACGGGTTCCCTTCTTGCCGGGAAGCCTTACTCATGCACTTAGCAGCACACGGGGGGTTGCCCCAGTGGGTTGGAAATGTCCATGCTGCAGCGCACCGACGTGCCCCTCAACTTTCCTCTTGCCTCGCAAGATCCAGGAGCCGCTTTGTGTGCAGCTGAACAGGGGCCGTCTTGGCAGGCTGGCGGGGCCTGTGCAGCTGATCAGGGGCTGCCTGGGCAGGCTGGCGGGGCCTGTGCAGCTGAACAGGGGCAGTCTTGGCAGGCTGGCAGGGCTGCGTTTCTTTAACTGTCCGTTTTAGCAGAGGGCAGTTTTACGCAGGTGTGAGTGCGGAGAGGGGGATGTGCGGTGGAATATGGGTGTATCTTGGTGGTGGTAATATAACCGCTGTCTAGAATTATTTTAGTGTCTGGCTTATATTTGCCAATATACAAGGTTCTCTGGATGAATAAGACTCGCTCTAGATACCTAAATATGAAGTCAAGAGCCTAACCGTTTTAGCAGAGGGCAGTTTTACGCAGGTGTGAGTGCGGAGAGGGGGATGTGCGGTGGAATATGGGTGTATCTTGGTGGTGGTAATATAACCGCTGTCTAGAATTATTTTAGTGTCTGGCTTATATTTGCCAATATACAAGGTTCTCTGGATGAATAAGACTCGCTCTAGATACCTAAATATGAAGTCAAGAGCCTAAATTTGGCTTCCGATAAGTTTTTTGTAGCTTCAGAAACTTCCAGGCCAGAAGGGACCCTGCCCGTCCTCCAGTCTGATGGCTTGCATGAAACAAGCTGTAAAGCTCCCCCAGGGATTCTCCCGTTAAGACCTTGCTTATACACATGTGGGGAGGCTCCCCTGGCTGGCGAGAATAGACCGTCCCAACAGGCGCAGGTTTCACACAGCAGGAGCAGAGCTGAGGGGAGATGTGGATGTTGCGAGGGCGCCGCTGGGCATCCGGCCACCTGAAGGTGACTCTTGGTCACTCGGCTCCGCCTAACGTGCTCGTGCTTATCTCGAGGTTTGCGCTCGTGTGGCTAATGAGCAGGAACAGGTGCAATTAGCTCTCGTTGGAGGATGGAACCCTCTGCCGATGGACTCCGGTGTTGGGAAGCTACATGGCCGGTTGGCTGTTGGCATTCATTCACAATTCCATAGCCTGCTCGTCGCGGAACGTGCCAAGGCGCCGTATGAGCAAGGAACGGGTTTTCCAAGGACAAGTGTCTGCTCCTAATTAAGTGATTTCGTTTTCACTGGGGGCAGTAGGGACTCAGTCCCCCTGAAAACTAGGCCACTTCTCCAGGGAGCTAATGTTAAGCACCTGCTTCTTTGGGAATGGAAGGAGGAGAGGATCGACAACATTGGCAGTTATAAAAATAAGTGACTCCGGCAATCCCCTTAAACTCAGAACCCAGTTACAGCTTACGACCAGGGCGGGGTGCAAGACTGGGGAGAGAGGCCGAGTGCTTGCGGGGAAGCATACGGGAGCAAACGCAGCCGACGGCCCTTCTCCGCCATTGTGCCAGGCGGGAGAGGAATGCGAGTTCTGAAAACCCCTGGGGGTAGTTCTCTTGGATGCTAATTCACGCTGCTCGGTTCTTTCGTTGGCTTCCTGCGGAATCTGTGCCCAGCTAAAACCCAGGAAAAACGGGGCTTCATGGGATCGGCCGCTGGCTCCGTCGGAAACAGTCCTGAGCGCGCGGCCGTTGTACAGAAGAAGGGATTCTTCTGAGCTGATGCCAGTTTCATCCACGTTGCTTAGGCCTCAGGCCTGCAACGCTCTCTGCCCCTGCCCATGTGCTCAGCCGTCTGGGCTCGGTGCAGGCGCAAGAGGCGGCTGGAATGGCGCTTGTGGCAGGCAGGCGTCCTTTCTTCCGCCTCGCCCGGCGATGCTGATGCGTTTTGGTTACTGCTGGCTGGGGGCTGAGGCCGGGAAGGCCTCGGACAGCAGAGGAAAGTGCTGTAGGCAGAGCTGTCCACGCTGACAGGCGTGGGCTGAGGGCGGGTCCCCCTGTGGCTGGGGCCTGCGGGCTCCCCTCTCGGCAGAGCAGAAGGGCCTGGCTGGGCCTTGTGATTTCATCTGGCCCGACTTGGTTGCAGGAGAAGCAGAAGCTGGTAGATGAGATGGACGACCTCGCCGCGCTCCTGGGGGAGGAGCAGGAAAGCAAGCGGAAGATGGGAGACAAGCTGACCCACGAGAGGCACCAGTTCCAGAAGGAGAAGGAATCCACCCAGGAGGTGAGCAGAGACCCCGGCACCGGCCCCTTCTCCGGGCGCCCTCTGTGTGAACCCCCAGGGCTCGCCATGCTGTGCCTAGTATCCGGTGCCCGGGGCTGTTCCCCCCCCCCCCCCCTGTGTAGATCTGTAATCTGTGTAGAAACTGAAGATTTCCCTGCATGTGGTTAAGCATTGGGCAGGGCCGAGCCTGTGGAGCCTGTGGACATGCTAATTACCTGTGGAACAATGGTTCTCAATGGGCCAAAGACACACCCAAAGAATGGGTCCATCACACCCTGCTCGTGTTTTCCGCTGCCCTGCTGGGCAACTTGTGTTGCGGGGGAGCAGCTCTTGCCTGGTTTCCCAGTGAGGGGGTGTTTACGCTGAGTAACGGGACCATGTGTCTGAACATCTTCTAGCTGTTGTCTGCTGCATGGCAGAGCCTGGTGGGACAGCTGTGCGTGGGGGCGCGTGGGCACAGCTGGGCAGGGGAGCTGGCGTGGCCCCGGTGGGACATCCGTGCGTGGGGATGTGTGGGTCTCAGACCCCACCTTCTCCCCGCCCGGCTCCAGAGTGCCTAGCAGCCTGTTCCTGTCGGCGTGCAAAGGCGCCATGGAGAAGGCCGGGCGTGCGCAGGGGCAGGCCTGTAACACCAAGGACGTACCCGTGTGATTCGCGCCAATGATTCTGCCCCTTCTGTGGCCTCCCCCCTCGCTCGGCCCCGCACTGGGGCGGGCCCAGCCGCTCCCCCTCCCGCTACCGCTCTCATTCCCTGCCTTGCAGCTGATCGAGGACCTGCGCAAGCAGCTGGAGCACCTGCAGCTGTTTAAGCTGGAGGCGGAACAGCGGCGCGGCCGGAGCAGCAGCGCGGGACTCCATGAGTACAACAGCAGGACGCGGGAGAGCGAGCTGGAGCAAGAGATCCGGCGGCTCAAGCAGGTGCGGGGCTGGCGGGGGGCTCCTGGGCACCACCCGATGCAGCGCCAATGCCGCGGCGCTGACTTGCCTGGCTCCCACGACCCCGGCCAGGCCTTTGCTGGGCTACTGTCCGGCCGCAGGGCATGACTGAGCCTGGGCAAAGCGCAGCTGGGACTGTGTGGAACTGGGGGGAATCTCCACCCTCTATTCCCAGCTCCCTGTCCGAGGGAGAGACTCGGTCCCTCGGGTGCCGTCCAGCCGGCCTGTGTCACTGCTTCGTCCTGCTCCGCTCAGCAGAGGCGTGACGGACCCAGCATGCTGCATGTATTCGCACCTCTGAGCAAAGCTTCCAAGGGCGCTGCTAGCTCGGGGAGTCCAAGAGTCAGGAGAGCTGTATTCTTAAGTGTGCTCTGCCACTTAGTTGACAGAGCACCTTGGCCATGTCACTTAATGGCACGAGGCCTCAGTTCCACTAACAGTTGATTGTAAAGTGCCTTCCCTGCGTGGCCTGTGTGGTGCCCTCGCAACGTGGATTGTGACCGGTTTGATTCTGGTTTCTTGTGAGCAGGACAATCGCACCCTGAAGGATCAGAACGACGAGCTGAATGGACAGATCATAAACCTGAGCATTCAGGGAGCCAAGAACCTCTTCTCCGCTTCCTTCTCCGAGTCCCTGGCTGCCGAAATCAGCTCCGTCTCCAGAGACGAGGTACTGTGGGCTGTCTAGCGGCAGCGTGTTCCTGTTCTCCTCTGCCTCAAGAGCGGGGGGCTTAAACCCCACTCGTTGCTCCGGAAGGAGCCCGAAGTGCCCTCCACAGTAGAGATGGCTGCTGATAATCCCTGGGGCCTGTGGGGAGCAGTCCAGGAAAAGAATCCCGGGCACAGAGCCCCGGCGGTTCCTTTCTACAGCCCTGCTGCAGTTAGAAAGGGGCCGGTCTGCCAGAGGGTTATGGGTCCCCTTAGCACTGGCAGGTTGTTTCTTCACATGATGGTGTACCCTTGGAAGGGGGACAGGTGGGGCTGAATGTGCTGCTCACGAGGTCACATCCTCCTGGGTAGGGTCACCCTAGCCCATGGTGCTGTTGGCCGACAGTGGCCAGAGGGAGTGAACAGAACAGGGAATCAAGTGATGCTTCCCCTGTTACTTATTCCCATTTCTGACGACAGAGGCTAGGGCTGATAACTGTTGCTGGCCCTAACCTCCTTGAATGTATCTAGCTCTTTTTTGAACCTTGTTAAAGTCTTCATAGCGTCCTGTGGCAAGGAGTTCCACAGGTTGATGTGTTGTATGAAGCAACACTTCCTTTTGTTTGTGTTAAACCTGCTGCCTATTCATTTCATTTGATGAGCCCCTGCCCCAGTTCTTACATTATGGGAACGAGGAAATCACTTTTCCTTGTTGACTTTCTTCGCATGGTTCCATACACACAACCCCCTTCTTTCTGTACTAGAGAAACTCAGTTTTCACACGGTAGTGCCTGACTTCCCGTACTGCCATGTGCCAAAGCGAGGCCCGAGGGTGCATATTGCCAGGAAATCGGTTCCTGAGCTGTGGCCGAGGAGTAACCAGCTTCTTCCTCGTCCTCCCCGACAGCTGCTGGAGGCGATTCAGAAGCAGGAGGAGATCAACTCCCGCCTGCAGGACTACATCGACAGGATCATCGTGGCCATCATGGAAACCAGCCCCTCCATCCTGGAAGTGAAGTGAAGGCAGCCGGGCGCTGCAGCCCGCCTGCGGAGGGCCAGGGTGGACTTGGCGCGCCGAGAGGCGAAGGAGACTTCGATCTCGATGACGGGACGCGCGGTCTCACTTCGGCCCGCCGGATGAATTCCTCCCAGGGCCGGGGGAAGCGAAAATGGCAACAAAGCTTTGTTGTGGGCCGCTCCCTCGAGACCCCGGCTGGCTATGGGGCGCAAGGGAATCTGGAGGAACATGTGGTGCGGGGGAGGGGGGAGGAGGGGTCCTGACTCCCCACAGCAGAACAAATCAAATGGTGGGACAGCCGCACGCTGGACCCTGGCAGGAGGTGACTCCGAAAGGCCTCCTGACCCAGCTGGAGCCCTAGATGACTTCTCTCCATGGAGCGGGCGGAAGGAAGGGGGCAGGGCGATGGGCAGCTTGGGTATGGGGCGCAACGGGGGTTTACACACTCCTGGGCATTTGCATGTGCGCGCTCCGGCTCGGTAACGCCGCGGCAGCCGCTTCGAATGCGCCGTGGGGCTGGCTCCGCTCCTCGCATGATTCCCGGGGCTGGCTTCCTGCAGCGCTGGCTCCGTCAGCTGCACAGCTTAGCACGCCTCGATCGCGTCGCAGCTGGGCGGGGCTGTAGTCGGGTAGCGAGTGGCCGGGGGCCACCACGGGGCTTAGACGCAGGGACAGCAGCTCCCCGGCCTGTGAGATTTCGGCCTGGCTGATTAGCGAAGACCTGCCAGCTGGCAGTGCCTCCTCGCTTCTGCCGCACGCCGGGCAGGGCTCAGCCTGGCACAGCCAGCCAGGCGTGTAAGGCAGCCCGGTGCGGCAGAGAAGACCACGACCCGTTCACATGCTGCTTTCAGGGTCCAAGTGCTGTTACACGTCACTGCTGTGCGCTACGGGCCCGAATGCCAGCGCTGGCGCCCCTCCCAGGCGGGCTCCCCCATTCCCCTTGGCTTGCCAGGACACTGGAGTCGCGTAATGACTCCAAGCTGGGGACCAGCGGCTGCTGCTTTGACCCCAGGCCGCCTGCGGGGGGTTCCAGCCTTTCCACCCAGTGAGGCTGGTGCTGGCATGCGAAAAGGTGCAACGGAACCGGCGGCCCGCTGGCACCCGAGAGCCTTGCTAACGCGGGACCATTCGAAGCGCCTGACCAAACTGGGCCGCTGCCTTTGAAGCCCTGGCCAGTGCATCAGCCAGGAAGTCAAAGCCGCAGTTGCTCAACAGCACCCAGTGGCTTTGGGCCCCAGGCCGGCACACTCCCGACTGACTCGGCTCCTGGGCTTAGCTCTTCCTCCGCTGAAAAAATCCGGTTCCTCCTGTTCCCCTGCCATCTGCCCCCAGGCTGCTCTAGGAGCCCACACGAAACGACTCCCCTGTGCTGGCTGAAACCCCAGCTGGCCCGTTCCCAGGCGCAGGCGACGTTGACTCGACAGGCGGTTTCTGTTGGAGCCGGGGGTGAGTCGCTTGCAGAAGGGCCTAGTTAGCCAGGCCAAGGTGGCGAATCCTGCCGTGGTGGTTTGCTCTGCAGCTTCCTAAATGTGCCCCTGGGCCACAGAGCCAGGGCATCTGCACTGTTGGCCCAGCTGCTCAGCAGGGCAACCAGGGCCAGCTGCTCCCTCTGAGTGCTGGAGAGTAATAACACCCCGACCACTGTGACTACAGAGCCAGCATCTTGCCTTCCTCTTAATCCAGGAAGGAGAAGCCCTGGGCCCCAGGCGGCTTTCTTCAGGGCAGGCACAATTGCAGAGTGTGATTCGTGCTGCCCCCGAGGAGGTCTCTAAGGTGGGGGAGGGCCGTGGGGAGCGATCCCCCAACCCAGGCAGTGGTGCTGGCCGTCCCTGGCGTTCCTGTCACGCTAGCGCAGCGGTGGTTTCATGGGGCGTCCGTGTGGATTTGCCCGGATTTCAAATGAGGTGCTGCTGGGTAAGAGAATGAGGTGGGGGCGGGGTGCAGGTCGCTGCTTTCAACTCCATCTCCCCCATGCCAGGGCGGGGCTCCCATCTCACTGGGCCCTCCGAGAAGTCCCCGGTCGCGCTCTGAACACACCGACCCTCGGGCTTGTCTTCGTACTGTGCCGAGCGAGAGGAGACCCCAGCGAGGGCTGCATGCTCTCTGCTCGCTCGCCTGAGCAATGAGCCGCGATCCTCTTCCTTCTCCCTCCCCCACCCCGGGAGCCTCTCCCAGCAAGCCATGAGCTCCTGCTCGCTTGACGGCTCTCTGAGCTGCCCCCTCGTGGCCCGTTTCCCTCCCTGAGCCTGCGGGAAGAAGCCACGGAATGTACATTTCCCGAGTAGCTTTGCGTGTAAATCAGTGTATACTTGAGAGGGAAATTTTTCTATCTTGTAGAGTAGGTATTTTTTATAGACAGGAGGTTGATCAATTTTTTTAATACTTTAAAGAAGAGAGAAATGTATCTGTGTATACACATAAATATATATATATATATGTATAAAGATATAAATATCAGAGATCTGCCTTTCTCAACTTGGGATGGTGTATCCCAGTTAATACATGTTCTCTGTTGATCACTAAGAGGTACTGTAACTGTAAATAAATCACCGGGAAAAGAGGTTTAAACAAAAAGCACTGACTTGCACACTGACCTTGCTTTAAGCCCCGAGGAAAACTGTACTTCCCCACAAAGGTCCTGTCTCCCTGCTGGTATGTGAAGGAAACTCCAAGCAAGAGGCAAACCCAGTATTGTCTGAGATGATGTATTGATTCTTGTCAAATTAAAGCTGTTACAATGAGGCTGTGGGCGTGTGTGTGCCCTGTCTCGAGGGGGGAGGAAGGGCTGCCGGAGGGGGGAGACCGGGAGCGGCTGTGGTCAGAACTGCTCATGTGCTGACAGGTGTGAAAAGCAGAAGTGGCTGAGGGTTGCTGTTCACCTGCGGAGCCGTCTCCTTGGGCGCAGGCGTTCCCCGCGCCTGTTAGCTGGGGCGGTGTAAAGCGCAGGGAGTGTGGGCTGAGGGCAGAGGTGTCGCTATGGGGGGATCTGTAGAGCCAAGTCTTGCCGTGGGCCCTGGTGTAAGACCCCATAGCCTTCCATGAGGTGGCAGCGGCTGGCCAAGGGTCCGTGAGAGCAGAAAGCAGGGCATGAGTTAATGGGAGTCCCATCGGTTGACTTCTTCTCCCCTCCACCCATTGTGTTGCCCCCATGTGGCCGCATCTGTTGAAATCCTGGCGTGGGGCGTGGGAGTGGGCTCCGGAGCCAGCCTTCTGCGGCGCCCCTTGTTGGGAGGAGCCAGGGGAGGGGAGCTGACTTTGGAGGGGGGGTCCCCTTCATCACGGGAGATGCAGTCTCAGCGATCCGGAAACTCCGCGGGAAGCTGGACAGTTCGTCCTGGGCTGCTTAGTCGCACATGCAAAGTGCTCCACTCGGGAAGGAACAATCCGTGTGTCACAGAACAGGAAGCGACCGTCTAGGAAGGAGCCCTGCAGAAAGGGATCTCGGGGTCACAGTGGACCACAAGCTAAATAGGAGTCACCAGGGTGGCAAGAAAAGCAAAGCATGAAAAAGCAAAGTCAAGCAAACGTGATTCTGGGCTGCATTAACAGGAGCGTGGGGAGCCAGACACGAAGTCCTTCTTCCGCTCTGTGCAGGGCTGAGTAGGCCCCAATTGGAATATTGGGTCCTGTTCCTGGCACCACATTTCAGGAATGTTGTGGAGAAATTGGAGAAGGTCCAGAGAAGAGCAACAAAAATGATGAAAGGTCTAGAGAACATGAGGGAGGACAGAAAGAATTATGTTTGTTTAGTTTGGTAGAGAGAAGACGGGGGACGTGCTTGAAAGCTGCTGTCCTCAAAGGGTGTCACAAGGGAGAGGGAGGAAAAATTGTTCTTGTCCTCTGAGGATAGAACAAGAAGCAAGGGGCTTAAACTGCAGCAAGGGAGGCTGAGGTTGGACATTAGGAAAAACTTCCTGCCTGTCAAGGTGGTGAAACACTGGAATAAGTTGCCTAGGGAGGTTGTGGAATCCCCATCCCTGGAGATATTTCAGAGCAGGTTGGACACACACCTGTCAGGGATGGTCTGGACGGTGCTTGGTCCTGCCGGGAGGGCAGGGGACTGGACTCGAGGCCCCTGCCAGTTCTAATGTTCTATGATTCCTATCGCTGAAAGGCAAAGCGCAATGCCGAAGGAGGGCCGAGGTGGGGCCAGGTGCCAGCTGGGAACTCCGATTCCGACAGGCTGTAAATAACCTGGGGAGCTGAATGAGGACCCCTTGATCAGCTGCAGCCCTGTGCAAGGGGAACCGGGTCCCCTCCCCTCTGCTCAGCCGCCTCCCGCCATGTGAAATGGGAGCGGGGGGGCTCCCTTGTTTTACGTTCAATGAGATGTCGGGGTAGCAGAATTGTGAAGCGTTAGGAGCAGGGCCGTGGAACGGTCTCGCTGTAGCCAGCCCCCGGCCTTCTCCTGTGCTGAGCTCGAGCCCGGGGCGCCTCTGGGCTGCTTTCTGGGCCGGGACGTCCAGGACCAGGGCGTGCTCCCAGGCCGTTTGACGCACAATCGGTCCCGGGCTCCCCTCAGGCCGACCCGGCTCCGGAGCGAGTCTGGACAGGAGAGGAGACAAAGGGACTTGGGACCCATAGAGCTTCACCGAGGGGCTGGTAAGTAGCCAGGGTGTGAAGGGGCTTCGGAAACGGCTCGGGCTGTTCTGCCTTCGGAAGGGGCTGGCTCTGATCCCTTGATGGTGCCACGGACACGGGGCCAGTGTGGCGCGAGGGGACCACGGCGGGCGTGGCCCATCCCATCCTGGCTGAGATGGCGCCACGCGCGCGAGTTTACCTCAGTCAGCGGCGGCTTTTGCGTGTTGCCGCTGTCAGGTGGGAGCACTCGCAGCCCCCGACAGGCCGGGCTGTGACCCATTAACCCCGGGGGGTTAAGTTCTTGCCTCATGGAGAATCTAGAACTTGCTCCTGGCCCCGGGCCTGGTGTCCTTACCGAGTTTGTGCCAGGAGTCGGGGCTCGGTTTCGGTTCCCGCCCCACGGCGGCGAAGGGGAAGGCTAGACTGCAGCGCAGCCGCCGGACGGATACG